ACTGTCGGAGGTCGCCTTCGACGTCAAGGAGCTGCCCTACTATGTTCCAGGCCAGACCTGGGCCGCCTTCAACGTCGTTGACGGGGCCAGCTCACTTCAGCAGATGATGCCGCTGGCTGGCAACAGGGAGGACTGCGAGACTCTGAGGAAGATCTGGGACATCGGATGGCGTCGACCCTACGACGCACCGGTCCGAGCCAATCGCAACTCCGCCCGAGCCAACACCGGGACCATCATGACCGAGGTACTGGAGTCCGATGGGGTCGACTTCGAGGTTATCCCTGGAGAGGCCCACTGGCTTCTTGTCAAAGCCGAGAGGCATGGCTCCTGGCTCGCAAATATCTTGAGCAAGGTGATCAACTCCCTCCAACCAAAGTCTTATCAAGAGTGGGAGCAGTGCGCTACCGCGGTCTGTGATCAGAAGAATCGCATACAGTAGGGGCCCGACCATAAGAAAACCTTGCACAAAAAACCCAACACTGAGACCCCAGGACGTCCATGGATTTCTGATGTGAAAGCGTCAGGCCTTCCATCGCAAAACCATCTAAACCCAAAACCCAAGAAACCCAGGGCAACCTGGAGGCAAGCAGGGTGTTTCTTGCCATGGGCCTCCACTGTACTTCGGAAGCATGGCAACAATCCATATCAGCATGCCTTTGGACGCGATCCGCCACTCCCAGCCGACCTACCCAAGTAGAGGCCTCCTAGATAGGGTCCGAGTAGATGGGGGAGGATCGCGCCGCATTGCTGATGCATCGGCAATAAATCAACGATGCATCGGCGATGCACCAGCGACGCTGGCGATGCATCGGCGACGTCGGCGTGAAGCAGGTCGGGCTCCGTACCGACGCCGATGCATCGGCGATGCGGCGCGATCCTCCCACCCCAGCTAAACCGACCCCACCTAGGAGGCCTAGACTTAGGTCGGGCGTGTCCCTTTCTACAGGCGGATTTTGGACAACAAATTTAACATAGCCAGAACAAGAAGGAACAAGTATGGGAAAACACACCCCCCAAAAAGATCGTCCCTAGGCTATGTTTTCACTATTTTTCCAACATTCCTCATATAGAGGGGCAGTCGGGCCGGGGCGAAAGGGGGGGATAACAAAGGGGGGGTGAGAATCAGCTCACGCAGCTGGTTTCCCCGGCGCCTCCTGGCGCCGGGCGAGGCGCCCATGCATCGAGGACTGGGCCCGGCGGCGGGGCCGAGACCAGCTGCACGCAGCAGCTTTCGTGACCCCCCCTTTCCCTATCCCCCCCCTTTTTGAAGGGGCCCCAGCACACACACAAATAAATACACACACATAGAACGATTCCCCATATTTTTCCAATATTTTCCTGGATTTTTGTCTTCCCGCCGAATTTCCATATTTTCCTACATTTTTGGGAAATCGACGATCAATTGTGTCTGTGTGCTCTTTCCCCTCCTGAAAAAGGGAAAGCGGCCGTCCGGGCCCTGCTGCCCGCCGGGCGGCCCCGAGGTGCAGCGACGAGGGGGCCGCGTTTTGGCTGCCCTGGGACGCTCGACGTCCTCTGCGACAGCTTCGGGCTGGGGATCGCGTGGCTCGGGGATGGACAGGCCTCCCTTTAGTAAAACGGAAGCTCAAGGGAATGCCCCCAGAGATGTAAAGAACATGCAACAAGCACGGATAGCGTTAGGATGCCCTCCCCGAGCCGCCCTCGTCGGGGATGGACAGACCCCCCTTTAGCAAAACGCGGTTTAGTGAAAACGACCTGAAGCCCAAACCTGGCGGGCGCAAGCCTGGAAAATAACGGCCGCGGCGCCCTCTCGAGAACCGAAAACGGACAATTCGCTAATCGACGTGTCACTGTTGGGGGTTCTGGCCGCCCCGGAGTGGCGTACTGGCCACGAGGCCGAGGCAGAGGACGTTAGGAGGACGGGACGGGCAACGCTCCTTGGCATGGGCGTCAGGAGGCAGAGGACGTCAGGAGGATGGGACGAGGAACGCTCCTTGGCATGGACGTGCTGCGGGTCTTGGTGATGGAGAACTATGGCCACTACTGGCTATCTGGTGCTTTGATCAGAGCGGCTCCTGAGCATCTACGACATGCCACTCGTGAAGAGGAATGGGCTGACTGGCACGTGCGTCAGGAGTTCAAGGCCGCGCAGGAGAAAATAAAGGGCAAGCAGGGAAACGCTATCTACGTCCAACCTCCTGATGAGAATCAGGGACTTGACATGCCAGAGGTCGCAGGAGGTCCGACGGTCATTGTGGCCCCGGCGGCGCTACCACCAGACGGTGATCCTGCCGAGGTCGATCCGCCGCGTGTGGCTCAGATCGATGACGTGCCGCCCACGGCGGTAAAGAGCGGTGGCGGGGTTCAGGTGGACCAGACGGTGAAGCGAGGTGCCGAGGAGGCTCATGACGGCGTTGTGGCCAAGCGGGTGTTCGACCTCGAAGGCTGGCAACCCCACAAGAGACTCCGTCAGAAGACCGCTCCGGCCGACATCGAACCACCGACGGATACCTCGGCTCCATCGTCCATTCCAGCACCACCAACTGCAGTGGAGGCCGCCACGACCTCCGATGGCATGGAGAACCTCCTGGCAGAAACGAACGACTATGAGA